GATCACTCGTAGAATGCCTTCTATCAGCCATTGGCTGATTTGAACATGGCGCGCTCGGTTGTCACAGGGTGGCGATCGCCGCGGAAGGACTTGTCCACGCCTGCATGCGCGATCACGCTGAAAAGGTCGCGTATTGGGGGGAAAAATGAAAAAAAAAGTGCAGCGCAAATACAATCAATTATGTGTTCAATACGGCTGCAAATAGTGTATTGCGGCACATCATTGCAAGACGTGTCCCCTTTGAAGTTTATTCCATCATACAGGTAGAAGGCGATCAGTCCGTTTCTGAAGTCAGCACACGTTATATCTTTAAACAATCATCTCGACTGCTCAATTGCGAATGGAGCTGCCTCACAGATGTAGATGATTTCATGAAGGAACAGAACTTATCGATCTATGGAAGACATGACGAAGAAATAAACAAATGACATTAACAAATGCACCATTAATAATCTGAAAAAAAAAAAACGCTGCTCAGTATACCCTTACAGAAAATATACTTATTTGTTTATTGAGATCCAGCTCAGTTGAGTTATTAATTATGTGTATCTATAGTTGATGGCTGAATGAGAGAAATGCCTGAGAATAAAACGTTTTTTTTTTCACAGTCACAGTTAAGCGTTTTGTTTCGTTTACGAGGAATAATGAATGGAACAATGTTGCACAAAATCGTGGAAATCGCATCTTACTGGCTCGATTTTTTTTCGCCCTAAAGTTGAGATGAGATTCGTGACAAGCGCTAAAAAAAAGAAAAAAAAAACTCGATTCTCTCCAAGCATCTGTTGGTCGAATGAAACGAAAAAAGAGAGAAAAAAGTGGGACAATCGTTTGTTTGGTTCATGTGCTCGCGTTTAAACGGCACGCGGAAATTTGAAGTATACAGTAAGAGTTGCCCTTACATACCTCGGTTAGGACATCCAAGTGCCGCGCATCGCTTGATTGATGTGTACAAATTCGCAGGAGTCAACCTATTTCTACTGACGATCGATAAATGTCTGCATCCTCGAAGAACAACAATGTGGCACACATTTATATGACTACCGATTCAAAGATGGCTTCTTGGATGTCACGTACACGCATCGAAGACCCCGAGGGGGAACAAGTATACACAAAACAGTTTAGTGCAAAAATGACGACGAAGCACGTGGGCTCGTTCACCAATCGGAACAGCAAAAACTAACTACGTCACAGCTTCCGCGACATACCCAAACCCGCAATATAGCTCCACTCGTGGCACTTCAGCTAGGACTTGAAACGCGGTCTGCTCTAACTTAGCGCGGTATGTATTCCTTGGTGCGGGGGAACAACAATTAAGTGCATTAACTTCCATGTATGTTGGCATTGAGGGTTTAGTTCATCGTTAACCTTTACGAATGTATTTCTTGTAATATCAAGCTCCTAACGGAAGTACACGTACGAGAATTCGCAAAGTATTAGATAACTGGGCACCATATGCCAATTAAATACGTTCAAAAGTCGGTGCGAAAGACTTTCCCTATACACCAAATGAAAAAAAAAAGCGATAAAAAAGAAAAGGATATGTCGTAATACGCGACTTTTTTACTTCGAGTGAGCCTTCAATTCAGCCGAAAGTCAGTGCGTGTCTCATTCCTTACTTTTATGCTATATAGTTCTTCGTGTGTTTCATGCACGCATTTGAAGTTGCATAAGAGGTTCCTAAACCAAGCCAAATAAGCGAATGAATCGACAAAAACCGCGCATTATTCTGGCGTTTCCGATAGCAATGTACATCTAGAAAGCAAAGTGGGGAAAAAAAAAGAAACTATCGGCGGAATAATTCTCGCGTGATCTCACTTCCTTGCTATTTCTTGCCACAGATGAACACCACCCAAAAAGTGCTGAAGGTCTCGTTCATACCAGTGAGTACATAAAGATGTCTTTACGAATATGCACTAGTACTACAAGAAACTAAATATATCTGCACAGATGCACATGCAGCATGCCGCGCTATTCTATAGGTATGGAGGGTCGCGCTGCACGGGTGCATGTAAATTTTGAGGTGGGAACGTGTATCGCTCTTGCCCTTTCGCTTCCATTGCCCACGCTTTTTAGAGAAGCAACTGACAAGATGAACCATCGCGAGAGTTCAATATTAAACGCGCTCTCAAAAGCCTGTATTCGACGCCGAGGTATGAAACCGAAGTCTTAAAATCGATTACCGTCCACCTCATTTGCCGATCGCAATGCTCCCTTACTATATATAGTCCATGTGCTCTATTCCTTAGCAATATTCCACGGTAAATTAAAAAGTAATCAGAGCCATACCGTATGCTGGCCCTCGTAAGCCGTCACTGAAGTGACTGGACTGCTAGTCGATGAATTAAGTCAGCGTACTTTGTTATGAAGGGCTATCGCAGTACCCTATCAGTCTGCTTGAACGACAACCACTACGAACGATTCTGCTGATAAGGCTACTACTGCGTATATAGTTCGAACTAGCTTAAAGAAACGTGTTGTTCCACAGCCATCATCGTGGTTGCGATCATTGCGCCAAGAGTGCTGGAAATGTACGCATGCGTAGTGCTTGTGTACACTGAAGTGATGTGAGGATGGACCGTGGTCGCAGTGGCCTCCGTATTTGACCATCGCATACCGCGGCGACAAGCTGGTGGTGGGCGGACCCATGGGTCAAGTGCTGGACGCCCTCACGAACAGCTTGAACATGACGTGAGTTGCGTTACTTCAATTCCTGCAATTTTTATTCATTGAAAGCGATAGATAGTGGACCAGACCCAGGTTGTAGAAAGGGCAATGAATGACTAGCATTTGGCGGCCTCTAGCCAAGGTTGGAGACAACACACCCGCTGTTGAAACAGTAATCGTTTATTTATTTATTTCTATCTCAGAAGAAAACATCGCGTTTATGTTACAAGAGGAGCTGCTTTGAGCTTCAATAAAAGCACAAGTTCAGGGAAATGTGGAGGTTTGAAGTAATCAGGAACCGTCGTAATCAGGAACCGTCGAACAAAAAACATCGCTTTGGGTGAACGTTTCAACAAGAGGTTTTCTATTCCTCGTGGACAAGAGTATCTGCCAGTACCCCGCCAAAAAACAATTGTCTTGTCGGAACGTTGGCTCAAAGGGAGCTCCGAGGAATCAAGCAAAGAGAGGAAACACGAGCTTCCCTTCTAGTTCATGCCTTGACTCTGTTCTGCACAAGTGACACTGCGGTATAAACTGTATGACGCTATCGATGTATTGTCTAAATTAATAACACCCATGGCCCAGCGGTGGTGCCAGAATTTTTTCACAGGGGGCACCCACGACAAGTGAGTTAGTTCCTCCAGGAATGCAGGAAGGCGGGTAACTCGGGTTAAGGGGGGGGGGGGGGAGTCAGGTGAGATTTGAGGGCGGGCTCCAGCCCCCCTTTCCTCCTCGCTGGCGCCGCCCCGGCCAGAGCCGAAGCCAGAAATTTTTTTTACGGGTGGTGCAAGCGTGTACAACGGCTATCAGTATCTCTCGAAAAGCTGCAGCATGACGAAAATTCGGGGAATGTCAGAACCCCCTCAACTTCCCCCTAGCTACGGCCCTGGTAACACATTCTGAAAAAGTGCGGGAGTGGGCAACACGGTAAATGGTCCGCAGTTGAGCAGAAGATGAACGCATTAACCGGAACCGAACGTTGACTTATCACCGTTCATGCTTTTCAGCCGTATGGAGTCGCTGTTTAACAGCAAGCTGAAAGCATTTCTAGGATAGCAGTAATAGAGGAAAACGAAAAAAAAAAAAAGCAGGCTCTAAGCAACTAGTCTGAGGGGCAAATAAAAAATAGGGAAGGAGGCATTTCATGATAACTCAAGGGGAAGCGCTTTACTGCTTGAAGTGACATCTGCTGCCTTAGGGCACGTATAAAGTGAGATTCAGTAAAGAAGAAGAAAATCCCAGCACATCCACGGAGTAAATGAAGACGAGTGGTGCGAAGCGATCACTTCAGGCGCTTGTACTGCGGATTCGCGCGCCACCTCGAGACCCGCTTGTCTACCACCGCTTCGCGAGCTCTCAGTTCGGGATCCGCTTGACTTCGTGCATGTCTCGCAGCCGTTGCGAAAGCCCTTGACGGCGAGCGCGCCCTGCAGGCCGCTTTAGACTTCAGCTTATCCGAGCCCTTCGCTCCGCCGCCTTGTCATCGTCGCTCAATGCGAGGCGCACAAGCGCAGTGACTGCAGGCGAAATGAGAAGCGCGCCAAGAGCGAACGCACGCAAGAGCACGAACGTACAGCACGCGTCTCCAACGCATCGGAGTGGAGAGCGCCCCCAGCGTCATCTAATGAGCAATTCGAGAACTTGCGGAGCGTGGAATGCCCTGATGCGCGCGCCCCCGCTAGCGGAGCGTGCGGGCATCAAGGCACCCTAGCGGAGCGAGTGCCGCAATGCCATCTAGTGAGCACTCCGAGTACTAGCGGGGGGCTACGACGTGACGCGGGACAGACCTGCACCTTAAGAAACTTCGCCCTTAAAATTTCCTTGCTGAGAGGAAGCTGAGGAAACGACGGAGTAGGTTCTGATTGAACGTGCAGATATCCACCCAAGTGTATTCTGGGGCACCAGTCCACATGTGGCCTCGGGTTTTAGGGATAACAATGGAAAGCTGAACACGATCGTGATATAGATGAGCAAAAGACAGAAAATTAATGGCAGAAAAGTAGTGAGAAAGGACAAAAAATAAAATAGCAGGGAAAATAAGGTCACTCGACCGCAATAGGCAGTGAATTTTTGTTCCTTATAGTAAGATTGATTTAACCGAAGTAGACAAGGCACGAGGTGAACTATAAAAAAAGGTTGTGTTTGTTGTTGTTGTTGTTGTTGTTGTTGTTGTTGTTGTTTGTTTGTTTGTTTGTTTTGGACGAGCCTGGTGGCACACATGTCAATGCCCCGTTCGAAAGGGGCCGCTCATAGCAGCCATCAATCTATCCATCCATCCGTTCATTTTCAAGTGAGCGACAGACAAGTGACACGCTCTTCGTTTGGAGCAGGTTTGAAGCAACTCTTCCTTCTGATGGACAAGTAGGAATCCGGCTCCCGAACGGTTCTTGGACGGGGGTCGTCGGCAGCATTCAGAGAAGAGTAAGATGGGAGATCGGTCTCTTTCACATGATAAGACGAAGTTTTTAGTGAGCATCTAACACTGATCTCTTCAACACAATTAAAAAAAAGTAAAATAAGTGTTCCGGCATACCACGTCATATCGAAAAAGAAATGTGTACTAGATAGGCAAGGCGTTTGCCATACTTTAATACTTGATCCATTGCTGCTTCAGATGTCGATGACCCACTACAGTATAGTTTAATGGTTCAGTGCTTTACTTCATGCTGTTCCGAAGCCGCGGGGCCGAATCCATGGTCACGGCAGTCGCGATTTACGGTGCATATTATTATTATTATTATTATTATTATTATTATTATTATTATTATTATTATTATTATTATTATTATTATTATTATTATTATTATTATTATAGGTTGAGTGAGAGACAAAATAAGTCTCTTGGGTTGTACGGTCCCATTATGATTCTCAGGAACGTCGTAGTGAAGAATTTCGTAGCGATTTTAACTACCCGGGAATTCTATATGCGTTTCATCGCCAACAAGACGAGGGAGCCGTGGTCTGTAACGGAACCCCCGTCCCCGAACTTAGCATTGAAATTTTTTAGCCGCCAAGTTTGTACGGCGAGTGTGACGTAGCGAGTGCATAACTTCTAAATAAAAGTAAGAATATTTTGGGAAGAAATTGTCCGCAGCTGGAAACATCCTCACGCCTTCGTAAACGTGCTACGGAAGCACATTCACTTTACTCAAAGAAAGAGAGATAGTGTGAAGACCTAAATCATCCGGCGAAGATAACGCAATTTTGTTAATGAAATACTTTACCTTTTTCAAGAATTTCATGCAAGTGCTATTCTATGTTAAACTCTGACACTCGTCCCGCGGGTTTGTACTTGTGTAGTCGATCGATCAACCTCATGGGTCACGTGTTATAGAGAAAAAAAAAAACAAGTCATGGAGAGCTGAATGTGTCAATATCATGAGTGTATCGAACACGTTCGGGTTGATAAGCAGAAAGCTGATAAATTTAGCCTTTATACCACCACAACGCCAAAACGTCGTTCAACGGAGTTTGTAGGTTCAGAGCTCACACAAGAAGTCGGCAGCGACATGCTTGTCTGACTTCTCCTTGTCCCTTGTTTTCAGTTCCGCTTCTCGAACATTACCATGACCCTTCATATCTCTTCCGGTCTAGCCACGCTTCCGATGAGCAGGCTCAATATTACTTTAATTGCATTCTTATTAGACAGATCAGTCATCCTCCTCGCGACAACCTCGTACCGAAGTTTAGTCTAGTAAATGAAGTTGTTATCAGGTAGTTACAAAAAATAGAAACATGGTTTTACCCTTGCCAGGTGCATATTATAAATACGGCGAGCACTGTCCGTCTCTTGTTGAAACAGAATGCACGTATCTCAGATACAGGTCAATGAACCTCTTTTATCTTCTGATGATGCTTAATCCTTTGATAACTAATGAACATCCTAAAGAACAGGAAATGGACATGGGCAGGGCATGTAGCGCGTAGACAGGATAACCGCTGTTCCTTAAGGGTAACTAACTGGATTCCCAGAGAAGGGAAGCGGGTTAGGGGGAGACAGAAGGTTAGGTGGGCAGATGAGATTAAGAAGTTTGCGGGTATAAATTGGTAGCAGCAAGCACAGGACCGGGTTAGCTGACGGAACATGGGAGAGGCCTTTGTCCTGCAGTGGACGTAGTCAGGCTGATGATGATGATGATGATGACGACGACGACGATGATGATGATGATGATGAACATCCTAACCTTATACTTCAATTGCTCCTACACTTACAGGAAGTGGACATGACCATCACGGCCGTGATTCAGTCTCACAGCCGCATGACCGTCGGCCAGTACGGTCCTCCCATCATGTACGCTCAGTTCGGCATTCTCTCGGGAACCGGAACGAGCACGTCCAACGTATTCGGATACATTCTCACCTTCGACTGGAAGGTGAGAGCCCATGTTGCTCACACATGTTCGCGACCCGTTAAATTGCGTTTTTTATTGCAAGCTTGTAAGCCGCGGGTCCAGCCTTCATCAGAAATTCTGCTGATGGCTAGACGCGTGGCCGAAACGTCGAATTAAATTGCGTCGCACGCATGTCTATATATATATATATATATATATATATATATATATATATATATATATATATATATATATATATATATATATATATATATATATATATATATATATATATATATATATATATATATATATATATATATATATATATATATATATATATATATATATATATATATTGCCGATACTTACCTACGGAGCAGAAACCTGGAGGTTTACAAAGAGGGTTCAACTTAAATTCAAGACGTGGAAAATGAAGAAACGGACAAGGACAATAATAGGTGTAACCATAAGAAACAAAAATAGAGCAGAGTGGGTCAGGGAAGAAATCGGTGTTAAGGATATCATAGTTGAAATCAAGAAAAAGAAATGGACATGGGCCGGGCACGTAGCACGTAGACAGGATAATGTCGTGCGTTCCCAATGTATGTAGTAGTAGTGGTAGTAGTAGTAGTAGTAGTAGTAGTAGTAGTAGTAGTAGTAGTAGTAGTAGTAGTAGTAGGTAGCCACCTCTCGTTTAGTTCTTGGAATGTTCGCTGGATGGTGGTACTTGTATACGATGAATATATGATGAAAATATGCGAGATGGCGGTACTTGGAGTGTTCATTAAATGGACGGATGGACGGACGGACGGACGGACGGACGGACGGACAGGCAGGCAGGCAGGCAGGCAGACGCTTCGCCCCACTCAACATCGTTCACTCAGTGGATATGCTGTGATTCTCTTTTGTGAACTTGAAATTTTTTATGACGTGGGAAAAAAAATGAGAGGAAGGTTATTACGCGCATGCAAGATCCGTTTACAATAGAGCGAACTTTGTTGGCGAATAGCTCTGAAAAGCACAGCGCAAGTTTAACGTCGGGAACACAGGAAGGCGCTGTGTGCGTTCCCTTCCTGTGTTCGAATCGGTACTTGCGCCGTGTTTCAAAACCGTTTCACCGAAAATCGCAAGTTCGCTCAATTATAAGCTGATTCTCGCACATGCGTAATGTCATATTCTTCTTTCGCTCCTTTTAAATCGTTTCACGTTTGCAAAAAAAAAGAAAAAAAACGAAAAGCACATGCTCTGCCCTTGCAGTACCGACGAGAGCCGTTTTCAATCATTTCAGATTTCCAACTTTGCTCAATTTAGTTGTTTGCACTTTCTGAAAGAATGTTGAGGGGCCCCGCCGTGGTGGTCTAGTGGCTAAGGTACTAGGCTGCTGACCCGCAGGTCGCGGGTTCAAATCCCGGCTGCGGCGGCTGCGTTTCCGATGGAGGCGGAAACGTTGTAGGCCCGTGTGCTCAGATTTGGGGCGCACATTAAAGAACCCCAGGTGGTCAAAATTTCCGGAGCCCTCCACTACGGCGTCTCTCATAATCATATGGTGGTTTTGGGACGTTAAACCTCACATATCTATCAATCAAAGAATGTTGAACCACAATCTCCTGAAGTGTGGTTTCACCGCACAATTTTACACACATCGCAGTTACTCAGTAACGAACAAACAAACAAGCTTCGTTTCTGCAATTTTATTCAAAAACAGCCCTCTCAAATCGATGTTACTTGAAACTTCTTGAAACTCAACTGAGTTTTTATGATGTAGTTTTTTTTTAACACCATTTATTCAGCTAACGTGGTGTACTGTAATGAAGCACCAAAAATGCTGAAGGGGCTATGTTCAAAATTTCTAGACATGACTCATAATAAGTAACATGTTAAGTGCATCAAACTAAAAAAGGTAACGCCAAAATAGCTATGAAAAGGGGCCATAAAAATAGAATGGAAAGTGGTGTACTTGGCTTTTGAGTTTACTTGGCGTATCTTAGCACTCTAACGGCTCTTATAATTGGGATTCGCCATTGTGGGTTGTTAGCCAGTGTGTGGAGCAGAGAAGATGAAAACGAACGAAAAGTAGCAATTGTATACGCACAATAAATACCCGGTTTGTTATACTACGAAGGGGCAGCGTACTTGAAGGTAATCTTACAGCTGTATCTGGGAACGTCCTCAATGTGAACTGTTAACTGCGAATCGTTCACGTACGCAGGTTTGGGCCCTGCTTCTCGGCGCTATGCCCTTGCTCGCACTGCTAATAAGCCTATCTGAGACCATCCTGCACAACACGCCGTGGAGGGAGATACCACAGAGAGTGCACGGATGGAGTTGGGAACTCTTCAGGAACTTGCTCTACGAAAGTACGTAAATTCTTTTCTTTCTTTTTTTTTCATTCTAGCACAACTCGCGACCACAGCAAGCAAGGAGCGCAGAAGCAACAATGTACAAATGGATGTAATAATCAAGTAACAGCTTGATTGATTGATATGTGGGGTTTAACGTCCCAAAACCACTATATGATTATGAGAGACGCCGTAGTGGAGGGCTCCGGAAATTTAGACCACCTGGGGTTCTTTAACGTGCACCCAAATCTGAGCACACGGAATCAAGTAACAGCTGCCTCATTACGTCTACTTTGGCATCAGAGTCAGATTAGCAATCGTATACCTACCTGCATCAGAACATATGAACTTTATTTTGGTCCTGCTGCCAATGCTGATTCATAGGTAGATGAACTGTTGTTTTTAGTTAACTATATGAGTTCATATCATATCGCGTACTGTCATATAGCAACAACAAAAAAAGTGGTACTCTTAAATTTAAAAACTGATTTTTGCTGACGCTTATATATATAACCGCTGACATGCCACTCTGGGGACGAAGGCTGATGAGATTCATAAACAACAGATTTATCAAGTGCAACTCGCTATTCACAAGCTTTTGCTTCAGCCATTGAGCGATACTTATCGACAAGTGTGTCGGTGAAAAAGAGACATTGGGTACGTTTGTAGTTACGAAAAACGAGAGGCAGAGCGTGCCCGAGGGCAAGGGTCGAAAATTGGCCCTGTATCTGCAAGTTTCACTGCAAGTGTCGTTGAAAAACGATAGTCTTCAGTCTGGAGAGAGTGAATAAAACGTTTATTTGATGTTCTGCGCAAGGAACTCGGTGAAGAATATTCTAGAGGCAAGGCGTGAGACATGACCGCCATCTAGCGGTAATCTTAAAAAAAAAAAAGAATGGCCTCCGATGTAGCGAGGCCACGGCGTGCCATCTCGAAGGCCGTAATTTGTAGAATGCTAGGCCACGGGTAGGTGCCACCACCGCATCGTAGTAGCAAAGCGTAGGAGACACCCACCTTTTCGTGCATAGCGTTGCATTATCAGCGCAGCGTACACAGTAAACGCGACGGTTCTTAGAATTACTTATGCATGGCTTTTATAGCATAAAGAAACCCGCCACAGTATATGACGTGCTGATATTGGGCCTCAGATATGCGCAATATTCGCTTTTCAAACGACAATACGCACAAGTATGAACGCAGAAACCAGAGCAGTAATGGCGGGCGCTGCGGATGTGGTTAAACTTTAGCCGTTTCGGGTGACACACGGACAAGTCAACGGACAGAAATACAGACAGACCACATTGTTTTCCGTTGAAGTATCCCTATAGAAGCGAGGCATTTTTTTTTTTTTTTGTAGAGTGTGAGCGAGGGATGGCTTACTGCTCTTCCATATTTGACTACCAAGTATTCAGAATCGTTAAACATTTTTTTTCTAAACACACAGAAAGACAATCGCCGGTGGTCTAGTGGCTAAGGTACTCGGCTGCTGACCCGCAGGGCGCGGGTTCGAATCCCGGCTGCGGTGGCTGCATTGCCGATGGAGGCGGAAATGTTGTAGGCCCGTGTGCTCAGATTTGGGTGCACAGTAAAGAACGCCAGGTGGTCGAAATTTCCGGAGCCCTCCACTACGGCGTCTCTCATAATCATATGGTGGTTTTGGGACGTTAAACCCCACATATCAATCAATCAATCAGAAAGACAATCGTTACGCCCGTGAGAGACCCTCGGTAACGCTGCTTTACGAAGGCGTGAGCAACTCTGATTTCTCCTTTCCTTTCAGGTTCGCCACGCATCCCTACACAGACGTCCGCGCGCGTCGCCTTGACATCTTGGCTTCTGGGGGTGCTGGTGATTGCCAACTCGTTCGCGGGACATCTGAAGTCCAGCATGGCCATCAAGAACGAACCAGCTCAACTGGACAGCGTCCGCGACGTGGTAGCCCAGCGCAACCTCAGGCCCATAGTCTGGAAGGGGTCACACTACGAGGAGTTCCTGTCGGTCAGTCCCCGATATGCTAATAGACGCAGATGAGGACGTTCCCCCCTCCAAGCGAGATCATGCAGACGTTCGGCGCTAGTGTTCAGAATAACGCATGATTCACACAAAATTCCGGAGGAGAAACAATACCAGATGATGAAATGAATTCATTACCATCGACATGGTTTACATATAATTGATATCGTCTTTTTTGTTCTTGTTGTTCCTGCAAAACCACCTTAGTAACAAAGCGAAAAATTATTGCGGTCTTATCTTGAATTGCGGAGCTCACAAGCTCACAAACCTATAGGTTGACACTGATCCTTCTTGTGGCATGCGCTAAACGGGTAAAGGAAATGTTTTCCTTCCATCAAACTTAATCTACTTTGCAGGCTTCTGCAAAACTGATTCACCAAACATACCAACTCATTGGTATAACTGTCATATGTTATTCTACGCATAAATCGACCCATGGCATAGATAACTTTGTTAAATGTTTTACTGCGAAATTGGCATGCTATGCGTGCCGCATGGTGCTGTCTGCAAAGCCTACCTAAACTAGCGCGACGCTCGGCACATGCGCAGTTCGTTAGCGGTGATACGTACTGCTTCAGCATTTCGCGCACTACATGCGTCATTTGAATGTACCTTCGTCTATAAAGTGCTCACCGATGACGTGATAGTGAAACAACCATGCCGCAAATTAACTGCGCTTGCGCTATGATTAATAACTTTTCTTGTTCCCCCACATCGTCCGGAGAAAACTGGTGGATTCTAAATAAAGTTTACTTATTCATTCCTTCATTCATATTACTTGCCAAAACAATAATGCGTTTTATAAGTCCCATTTGCCGAGCTTCGCGTCGTCAGCACCACGTAGTAGCACTCCTTTAACACTCAGCTTGTTAACGGCTGTACACCAAGAGCGTTCATTGATAATAATATACGGGGTTCTACATCACAAAACCACAATATGATTATGAGAGACGTCGAAGTGGAGGGCTTCGGCACTTTGGCCATCTGGAGTTACTTAACGCGCACTGACATGACGCAGTACACGGGCCTCTGTACCGTTTCGTCTCCATGAAAATTCGATTTCTCCAGCCGGAATCGAACCCGCGACCTTCGGGTCAGCACCCTAACCACCCTGACCACTGCTCCACCGAAGCAGACGCGATTGATCGTTCACTGAAGAGACTGGTCCTGGATGTGTGAACGTTCTAACGGGACCTCGGCGACAGAACCTTCAGCTCCTCCTTCTAAACGTCGACTGGTGGACAAAGAGTGTATAGCGCTTTTAAATTTTGGCAATTGCCGGGGTTTTACATCCCAAAACCTCGTTATGTTTATGAGGAATGCCGTATAGTGGATGGCTTCAGTAATTTTGACCGCCATGGCTTTCTTTAACGTGCACATGAATCTATTCGCGGTGTGAACGGGATATGATGTTACGGGGAGGGAATAAAGTATACACTGGCGAGCAAATGCGTACTGGCGAATATACTGGCGAGCTAATGCGTACAACGCTGCTGCAGTCCGAGCACGGTCACGTTCAGCACTTCGTCGTCGTCATCCTCAGGCATCTACTTAGCCCGTGACAATATATAGGTGGCTGCACCGTCCCGTGAAGATGTGGATGGGCGGTTGGCGGCGCGTATACACATACACGCAGCGGCGCTTCTTTGCGTGCGGTCTGAGCCGATTGTCGGCAGATAAAATGCGTTGAGTACACAGTTTACTGTTAATATCTACGCCCTTCTCTACTGAATCGGCGCACGACTCCTATGTAATGTTAACATTACCTGCGAGTTAAGCGCCTTCTGCCTTTCATAGGGATGCTCACCCTGGGTGACTCTCTTAACGCTTTCGCGCTAAATCACGCCTTTGCTCTGTTGTTTGTACGCGGTTAGCTTGTGTTCAGCCTGCTACGCACTGCTGTCGCGTGACTGAACTACTTATTTACATCTTTGTCCTCTGCATACTACAAAAAAACGATAGAAAGAAATCGTGGGAAACCCGCACATCTGCGCGATTCGTTCAGTGCCACCGTTCGCACTTCTTACGCATGTGATTTTTTTTTTCTTATTTTGTTCACCATGAAATGTGGGACAGTCGATAAGCCAAATGAGGAAAGCTTAGTGGCTTACGCCGCTTTGCGCTACACTGCGTTTACCTCTGTACGCACATGTTCTTGCACCAGTAAGAATCTTATATAAAGGGTTCAGAAAAAAGCTTTCATCAAAGGATTACGTGCATGACGGTGCTACAACAAAGGCTTGGTTAATGAGTCAAGCATGTTTTTTCGCAGATTAAAAATTATTACTTGCCTTCCGTCGGTCTTTATTATCAATGTGCCACAGAGACGCTGAAAACTATGTAAACAAGATTAAATTTCCAGTAAAATAATGCGACCGAATATATATATATATATATATATATATATATATATATATATATATATATATATATATATATATATATATATATATATATATATATATATATATGGCATGCCGTCTGAATTATTCAACGTTTGGGCTCTTTAAAGCTTTCTTTATGTTTTAAGTACAGTGTAAGTGCCGAGGTCTCACAGTTTATGTGACAGTAATATTTACATAGTAATATTTCTATGTAGTGGTACCACGGCCAGATAAACAGAACTAAGGCTCCTCGCATGATTGATAAACTACATTGCCGTAGTTGTGCACATACAAAGAGCGTGCCAATGCGTGTTCTAAAGCCCGTTTTTTTTTTTTTTTTTTCAACCGAGTCGCCATAAAACGCTGCATTCACCACAGCGTTTAATAGTCCTCATGTTTGAGGGGATGCCAAGGGCATTTTGCGATGCGCTTGAAACAGAAAGCGGCATCCCACTCTGGAATTATTCTGGTGAATCGAGGGTATACGACGACAATAAGCGGCACTCTGGAAAGTAGCGCTCATCGATATTATTACAATGCATTAGCAGCCGAGCAAGACCAAATGCTTTCGTACGTCGTTTCAGGTATACGTAGAAGCACTTACACTTGCGGTAACATGGCTGGATGAACAACACTTTGAGAACGTGCATGACGTTCGCGCACGTAGACACACGACGTGGCTAGCAGACGACGCAAGGAGCAATCCACACTTCACCGTTTCGGCCAGTTGCCGCCAGGCGGCGACTCTGCTCGATCTCGCGACCAATAGCTATACAGGAGCTTTTAGTGATTCGGCTGATTCGGCTTCATTACAATGTTACCGCCACGGCCTGATTCGACCCGCTACCTCTGGAGCTAGACCAACGTGGCCGTTTTGTTATGCGATATCATGTGCAAATGACATCGCGATAGGCGCGTCACGCGCAAGTAAAAAACTTGGATTCATGCATGAAATTTAATAAGGATCGATGGAAGGGACTAAGTCCTTACCAATATATACGGTGCGCTATTTGTTTGGTGACCGTTTGCTTTGAGGTGGCGAAGGTGTACTTGCTCGAGGCCCGAGCCCGACCACAGCAAGCGCGTCAGGTCCAGTGCAGTCATGAAGGCGTCACAAAATGGGCATGTGTGGCGGCCGGTGGGCGCTCACTGCCGGCGTAAGCGCAGCCCTGAGTCGCGCGTTTTCTTGAACCACGCGCAGACTGCCCGGTCTCCGGTCCTGCGTTCGCTATGGCAAATGGTGACGCGCACCAACGGGTCTCAGCTGGGCCGGGACATGTTCAGCGACGAGCACATGCGGCTGGTGGTGGAACGACGCGCCGTGCTCATGGTGGATCACATCTCGCTCCAGTGGCGCACGGCCGCCTACTGCCGCCGAACGCTGGTGCCCGGCTTCCACTTTGCGCGAGAGCATGTCGACGAGAACCCGCTCTCCTTCCTCATGTCGCCGACCATGAGCAGGGACCTACATCAACGCATTTACGCTAGGTACTGCACAGCAGAGAAGTTACTACACGCATACATGCAAACGTGCACATGAAATGGAACTCGTCTTGTTTTGTGCTTGATCTTGTGCTTCACTGACTACGCCCATCCACGCATAGCGTCTCAGGGAAGGAACATGAATATTGATTGATATGTATAGGTTTTAACGTCCCAAAACCACCATATGATTATGAGAGACGCCGTATTGGAGGTCTCCGGAAATTTTGACCACCTGGGGTTCTTTAACGTGCACCCACATCTGAGCACACGTGTCTACAACATTTCCGCCTCCACCGGAAATGCAGCTGCCGCGGCCGGGATTTGATCCCACGACCTGCGAGTCAGCAGCCGAGTACCTTAGCCACTAGACCACCGCGGCGGGGCAGAGAGCATGAAAATCATAATATATGTTACTGGCTACAGCTCGCCTGCAGTAGTTGAACTGTGTAACTATTAATAATCACGCATACGGATAGCTTGCATTGGCGTAATCGCGGAGCCGGGAAGTCAGCGTATACAATCACGTCGAGAAAATGCGTAAGCAATAAACGTGTCTGCACAAAAATCGACTGCAGTGATTATCCGCTTTATAACTGGTACCGTCAAGCACAAGTAGCCTCACGTGTGATACTGTGGACTGACATCACCATTTGCATGCCGCCATATTTGGGTATTCGCAAGAAGACGCTTCCGTAACATCACCTGCTTGGTGCAGGATCATGTGGATGTGCGAGAGTGGCCTGGTAAGCAAGTGGATGGCCGATAGCCTGGGCGACTGGCAACGCTGTGTGCGACAGACGGGAGGCCACGCTGCGGAGGACCTCACCGTCTCGGACACCCTGGCGAGCTTCGTGCTATGGGCACTGGTCATGGCGGTGGCCCTGGCGGTCTTCCTTGTGGAAGTCGCAGTGCACGCTGACGCAGCGGTTCACGGGGCGCGCCAAGGTGACCGGTGTCCACCTGAAGAGGTCAAATGCGCCTACTAGCTCGCTATGTGATTGACTTTTGCCAAACAGTGACAATCTTTAGTTTATATGATAGTTGTGCATCGCTCAGCTCTCGGTCGGGCATAACCGGATTTCGTTTCTGCAACGAAGGATTTACACGTACAAGAGCGCATTCGAAGTCAATCTTGCAAAGATTACGTAAAAGAGATGTATTAAAAGAAGCAAATGAGGTTATCGAGAAGCGGAACACAGCGTTTCATTCCACAAATGCCACCAATAAACGTGTTTGTGCAACGACGACGTAGTGGTATTAGCTTCCTCTTCACATGTACGTTTCACGGGGTGCACATCAGTTGCGCCGAGATCTCATTTCATTTTCCTTCTTTTTCTGCAACGTCACCAGTGTGACGTCACTCACAAGCAGAATGAGGCGGAGACAATCAAGAGCGGACGTGCAAACGTCTGATGCGCCACGAACACCGCACTGACTAGTTGATTGCCAAGTGGTGTGTCCGCCAGCGGTTACGTGAGGTGCAGAAAACCAAGCTCAGTGGAGAGGAGAGCGCGAATGGCCAAATGTACTGGCTACACTCATGATTACGGTTACGTCCAAGGTAATCAGAAAACTCTGGCGTAAAACGCGCCCATTCGTCATCCTAATAGCTATTATAGAAAGTGAAACTTGGTACTTTAAAAATGTGAACAAGAAAGATTACACCACCATTTGACAGGTACACGTAAGTACGCTGGATGTCTTTTGGTGCACATAAATTGCCCGTACAATTGCATGCCCACAATGAAAACGTAGTGCGTTAAATATAGCCACAATTATTGCCTCATGTGGTACACCCTTTCAAGCCATAATTGTAATTTAATTCAACAACGATGCAACGAACCTTAATTTTCGAAGAACTGTCTCGAAAGTTCAGTCGCCGAGGCCCCAGATATGGGTGACGTTTCTCCAATTTATCTGAATAAAGAAGGCGACAAGTAGTTCGATAAATGGCATTCACGAAGCCATCAGCGATAATGTCAATTGAAGCTCTGCTTAGCCTTTCCGACAGCGCTTTCTCTTTATGCCAAGAGGCCTGCCATGGCTGACGTTATTAATGTAAGGTGACTGCGATGGCGAAATGACAGAAATACCCGAGCCGACTAAAGCTTTTCCACCGCCTAAATGCCCAAAGTGATCTGTCTGTTCAGCGTTCGTCTTGCTCAGCAAGAGTAGTAAGCGGACGAAAATGGCGAGAGGACCACCACGGAACGATACACACTGTCGCCATTGTGTGCTATAGCTGAAATTCACAATTGACGAAAGATCGAAAACCTACTTTGCGTGGACCCAGTTGACCCAGTTGGTCGTATCTTAAGGAATAAAATGAAGACAAAGCATAAAGAAAGATTACTCGCTTTTTCTCTCACTCAAGTGCAAATGGTATAGTATATAGATGCAGCTGTAAGCTGGATATGCTAAGATTTGCATTTAGATACAAAATTTTTGTGGTCCCAATGCCACGCGACATTTGATCGTTACGTTCCGTTTCACGGAAAACAAGCAACCTAATATTCATAAATGATGAATACGCATTTCTTCATCACGCCAAAACAACAAAAAAAAAGAAACATGCATGCGTTTAGCTACATTGCGAATGAAATACACTCGGCATTTTTGCATGCGTATACATGAGTAGATACCAGTGGCCTCGAGGGAATCATTAGACCCGACCGTTCATGTTCAAGCTTGATCACGTGGCCGAGTAGGAACAGCAAAAACCAATTAGGTCACAGCGCCTACGAGATACAAAAGCCGGGGATTTGGCTTCACTCACGGCAATTTCAGCGAAGTACTTGAAACTCGGTCTGCGTTCACTTTATACGGTAAGTATTTTTGGTGTGGGCGGCACTACAATTCGGGGCATTGATTTCTAAACTAACATTTAGGATTTAGTGCGCGGATTGGTAATTCTCACGAACACATTTCGTACCAGATCAAACTCATTTCGGACGAACGTATGTAGGAAGGCGCTAACGATGAAGCTATTGGCCATCATGTTAAACCGGAAATGACACCAAATGTTTTGATGAAAGCTGTGTTATGTGGTTTAATATGAATGTTTTCAAGAACAAGCTGGCGAAGCTTTTAACGTATTGGGTCGAGCACTTGACTTATATTTGAATAGTTTTATAAACTCGCAAGCTCCTAGAAACTCTTGCAACACCGGCACATGTGATAGCCATGACGCAAGAAGCTGCATGTTGTGTCACTGCCTGCATTCCGGTGAATGTTTTTGTGCCGTGTTCAGCTGCGCGTGCAATAGAGCTATTTGAGATTCGTTCAACCTGGGGTTCGAGTTCAGCTATCTGCAGCACCGGAAACTCTGATAGGAAACGATTGCACCTCTTCATCTATAACCCATGACGTCACGCATGCCATGTCAAAATGGCCGTTGCTGGCGGTGATCGAGTATTAGAGCCGGTGACATCGAGGGCTTCATTATTTCGTACTGAAATATTCACTTAGAGAACATTTTGCAAGTATGCACAGGATTAATAGATCGCGAATTATGTTTTTTCGCTGAAAATTACGAATCATCGGGTTACAGTGTCAATGACCCTTCAATTCCGCACGTCCATGTGCCAGTGCCAAAGATTTTGCGTTAAGTAGTGTATGAAAGACGTGAATAACGAGTATAGATAGATATCAGTGGGCACGCATCAGTGTCTTTTAAGTGAAACTTCGAAAAATGTACTGAAGGTAGAGGTCTGTCTCTTTCTTGATCGTTGTCCCAGTTTTTCGTGTGCCAACTAACATACTTGGACACTTCAGAACAGTTACAGTAAGCGAAATTTCTCATTGTTTTATGCGTGTGTTCTTCTTGTGCTCTTTTATCTTTACTGTGAAATAACTAGGGGGGTATTGGAAGATGCATGCAGTGACTCCACACACATCAAAGTCTGCCATATAGAAAGCAATCAAGCTCCGACAAAGACTGGTGTGAGGCAGAAAGATACTATCAATACGAGACCATTCGCCGCGTTCTTCCAGGATATGTACAGGCCCCTGGATTGAGAACCCTTGAAGGCACTGAGGTTAACAGGGAATACCTCAATAATTTGCGACTTTTTGATGACATCATGACCTTGCTAAGTAACTCAGGTGAAGAATTGCAAAGAATGATGTTTGCATTGGTGAGGCAGAAATATTGGTCTAAAATTCGTTTTCATAAAATTGGGGTCATCTCCAACAGCCTCGGAAGAGAATCGTGGTTTGCGGTGTAGCAAGGCACTGGACTTGGTAAAAGAATGCGTCCATATCGGACAAGTAATCTTTGCCATAAGACGAAAGTAGCTAGCAGAATAAAAAAAAAGAACCAAAAAAAGACTGAGAAAGTTAGCTTGCACTGAAGGTGCATCATGACAACATCATGATGGGGAGCTTCGTATTCTTGTGGTACCAAGCCTGAAGGAGGTGTGGAGCGGGGTGGCCTTCTCTGTTTCTTCTTTTTCTTTCGAATCCCACTTCCTCGTGAGGATTGTATTTTTGGACAAGATTTTTTTTCTCTTCCTTTTTTCTTTCTCTCTTTCCTTGTTCCTTTCGTTGTTTCTTTCGTTCTTTCGTTCTTTTTTATTTATTTATTTCAACTGCTTGCTACACGCACGACTAATCAGCGCGTGTGTTTCGGGAGCAAAGAATATGAAGAGGTTGAAGAAAGTGTGTGCCTGTTAATGATGATGATAGTTTGGGTCACAAACGCCGAGCTAGAATAGATCCACTGTTAAAACGGGTTGGAGTGCCTTTGGCAGGCATTTTCATATTATGTACGGTAGTTTACCAGCGTATATCTCGAGAGAAAAGTAAACCGCTGCTGGAGCTTGAACGGACCTGGAGGCGCAGTTACAAAGAGGGTTGAAGTTAAATTGAGAATTATGCAGTGAGCCAAGAAAAAGGAAAATGGTCGCTGTAACCTTAAGAGACAAGAATAGATCAAAGTGGGTCAGGGATTAAGCACGAATTCACGGACATCCTAGGTCTGAATCAATAACAAGGGGGTATGCATGTAGCGAAAGGGCAAGTTCACCCTCTGGTCATTACGAGTGAACATACTGCGTTGTATGAGAAGGCAAGCGCGATAGGGGGAGGCAGAAATTTAGGTGGGCAAATGAGATTAGGTCCGTTGTGATAACGTGACCACATCAAGGGCGGTGCCGGGTTAGCTGGAGAAACGTGGGAGATATGCCTTTTTCCCTGCAGTAGATGGTCATGATGATGTTTTCGTTAGTCCCAGCTATCACATTAGCTCAAAAAGTTATTTAATTCAATCAATCAATCAATCAATGTCATATCATTTCCTGTTATGTGTTCACTTTTGTTGTACCTCCCTTAGCCTTGCTTCGTGCTTTACTTTTGGTGATTCATATTGTAGCCTGCCCTGGAGGCCTGCTATTACACTCGCAAGCCTACAATGGAATTTCATGGAGAGCATAAAAAATGCCCACAAGGAAATAGCGTTGAAAAAATCGCAATTCAGCGTATCAAGGAAAAGTGTATAGCTGCCACAAAAAAAAAAGACCGAATTACTCAACATAAACTGCGGAAGCTTCTGGCATTTCCTCTTCACGCGTATACGTCTATAAAGCACCGCAAAGTAGCAATTACCGCTACAATATTAGTCACGCGGTAATATTGTTCACCCGATGTCACCTCCTTCCGATTTCTTGCCGCAGATGAACACTACTCAAAACCTGCTGAGAGTCTCGTTCATACCGGTGAGTGTATAATGCAGTTTACATCAATATGAGACACGCCTGCAGAGCATGTTGCGCTGTTGTGAGTATAATCGGGCGAACTGCAAAAGTGTCCATGCACATGTTAAGTGAAAAACACTATTGATCTTGTCTCCATTGGTGACGCACTTCTGTTGCCACACCTAATAAAGCAGAAGGTCGCAAAAATTAACTATTAAATACGTTCTGAAGCACCAGCCTAAACTACTACAAGTTATGGTATTCAAACCGTATATTATATTCATCTAATTGCCAACAGTAGCAATGGCCTGTCCGGAAAAGTGCTCAAACACATTTTGAAATAAACGAACAAATTATAATTGTATGGGCAGAGCACATATATAGACTGAATCGTGTCATATGGTGGCTCTCCCAATTCATCAGTGAGAGGCTCAATTATCATAAGCTATAAAATTACCTTCGTTCCGTGAGGCTGACTATCGCGGCATCCATTTGTATGCATGTACCTGTACCACCTCTACAACAGCCACAACTAATGATACGCGCATAAGGATACTATATGTTTCGAACGGGCTTTATATACTTTCAAGTAGAAAGTTGACGTTCCGCAGTCATCAGGATGGTTGCACTCACTGTGCTTAAAGTTGAGAAGACGGACGCTTGCGCACTGCTCGTGTACTTTGGAGCAATGTTCGGATGACCGTGCGCGCAGTGGCCTCCGTATTTGACCGTCGCCTACCGCGGCGACAAGCTCGCAGTGGGCGGGCCAATGGGTCACGTGCTGGACACCCTCACGAACAGCCTGAACATGACGTGAGTTCAGTTATGTCGATTCTCACCACTGGACCTTTACTTTCTTCACCAACAAAAGCTGATGAACCTGACCTATATAGACTGCAGAAAGGGCAATATAAACTTATAATTAGGTTGCCTGCTGCCGATGTTGAAGACAACACAGGGGCGCTTACCCGCTTCAGACATGCATTATAATGCCACTGTCGGGAATACGTGAAATTGCGTGGCACAATTTCAAGGCACTCAGTATTACATTCTAAGAATGAAATTGAATGAATGGGTTGTTGAATGAAACTCAATGATTGTGCTACTAATTATCTAATTATTCTGGTACCAGCCAGCTTGAGTACTTGCATAAAGATAATTAACTGTTAGGCCCGAAGTGCATGTACAGTTTGTTTTATTGTTGTATTCGTTCCGAACGGACAAAAAAATAATTTTCACATTGGTCCTAGACGACGGCGCACGTCGAACGATCGTCAAACACGGTAAAGTTTCCAACAAAATGGTCCTCTAGAGAAATATGGAGCACTACATAATTACATGACTGCTAGTTGTCTACTCAGGAAGGTTGTAGGAATGTGCACAGCGAGTTTTAAGCCATTTGAAGGAACAGGTGGCCTGTGACGCCTTTTGAAATTCGTGTCCACAAATCTCGACGCTGTGACTGAAAGGGTTAAAACAGTGATTTCATCTCTCGCTTTTTTTTTCTCGCACTATGTCAGAAAACTTCATATTGAAATCAGGAAATGCGCTGCTTTGAACTCTGAACAAGGCAGAATTTTGCGAGAGTATGGAAGCTTGAGTGAATGAAAAAATCGTTAAACAAGTAGTTTTACTGTAGTCAGTGTTTTGACAGAAGGTCTCATCTTCGTCATGGCGTGACTTCCGCAATTAGCTCCGGCGGAGCGTTGCCAGAGCTAATCGCGGAAGGTCAGGACAACTGCCCTCCTCGTTGGGACGGTATTCAATTGTAGGTGCAGAACTAAGAACGACGAGAAAGAATGAATACCATCACGTGCATTTTACGAGGAACCAAAAACAAGGTGACACGTGAGCTATAGTGGAAGTTATGTATATTAAGCAAACTGAAGACCAAGGCATCCGATTTCCGTCTTTGTCCTTGTTTGAGAGAGAGAATGAATGAACGAAACCTTTAATTCAAAGAAAATGGCGGTTCTGGGCCGCAGTTTGGGAATATGAAAGGAAGGGATTATTAAGTTTACAGCGTGAGCTTATCAAGATTACATCGGTTCGCGCTCATGCGTTCTAGTAGTCGTTCTAAAAGTTGCTATCGCCCGAGTTGGTCGACCTCCTCTATAGACTACTCGAAACAGGTCACTTGTACTAGCATAGGTCGCTAGTGCATTTTGAGCTTCATAATTACAGTGTAGCACAACGCCCAAGCTTCCTAAAATAAACTTTATGAGTGTACAGAAAACGTTCGTTGGTTTGAGCCCTCAGTCAAGGAGTGTGGCAGCTTGGGCTAGTTGGTATGGCATGACGATAGTTATAGCGCAAGAACAAAACGGTGACACAGAGACATGAAGTCCTTCGTGTCATTCTTGTCTCTGTGTCGTCGTTTTGTTCTCGCGCTATAACTATCCTCAGTCAAGGGCTCCATTGCCTTGCACGACCCTGTGAGCCCGCTGTGCCAGCTGCTGCTGTTCCTGCCATATTTTACTAGAATAAACGTCGTTCCTGCCGGTGTAAGCTGAGCAGTGCATGCTCCCAAGAGAAAGAGGTAGGGTTGGGGATGGGAGGAACGTCCTGTGAAGCAAAGCATACCCACGTATAGAGCGGTCAGATCCACAGAAGGGGCAGTAGGGTGCGTACAGAGTCGGATGAAAGTGGCTAAGCATGTAGAGGCAAGGAAATGAATTGGTCTGTAGTTCCCGCCAAGCGGCAGCACCTGCGCTGTTATGTGTAAAGGCCTGAACACACGTATAGCCGTTACAGCGCTGACGCGGCACTGCGCCCTTTCCCTATTGTGAGAGAAGGCACGTGGCTAGGCGAATTGGCGCGCCCACTCTCTCCTCATGGAGAGAAGTGATGCCACGTCAAAAAGCCACGCGCTGCAACGGCTACGTGTAGTCAGGCCTTAACGACTCAGTCTGTAGTACTCCGACGTCGCGTTGTAGTTTAGTGGTTCTGTAGGTGCGTCATCTGGGTTAGACCGTTTCTCCAAGGAGCCCGGCCGGTCAGACCTCGGGCAATCGCATGAATGCGTTCATTACCATGTAAAAGGGCGTGTCCAATCCAGGGGTTCAGATGATACACACCGGGCGTAATGTGGGCAGTGGGATAGAATAAAGGACACTGTGCGCATGGGCAGCCACAAGTCATTGAGTAAATCTATGGCAAGCATCTTGTGAGTCTGTCACTATGGTGACAAGAGAGTCATGTGACAATGTCGAGGCGTGGACAATGATTAGAACGAGAGCTTCCTCATCTGCAGAACGACTGTACGTAGTGCGAAGTGTGGCAGTCTCCACGAGGGCGTCTGTGTCGTCTATCACGGCTAAACACACGGCTGGCTTCTTTGGGTAGCGTGCCACAGTGAGTGTAAGGTCTTGTAAATCGGTGATACCATCACCAAACTCACGTATCATATAGCTTGAACTCGGGCACGTTAATGACTGGCGTGGTGGTGGGGAGAATGAAATTTTCTTCTAGCTGATACGTTGTGATGATATATATTCATGCAATTTTTACTTGTCATGGTGTTTTCCTTTCCGGTATATTTTTGTAAGTGTGCGGATAGGACACCGGTGTAGGCTCGTGACGTTTCATACTTTTCATGAAAAGTATGGAGTCACTGTTTATTCGCAAGTTATTTGCACTTGATGGACAATATAAATGACACCTCCTTCATTTAGAACAGGTTTGAAGCAACCCTTCCATGCGATGGCCAAATGGGAATTCGACTCCCAAACGGCTCCTGGACAGGAGCCGTCGGCAAGCGTCCAGAGAAGGGCAAGTTGACAATTTTTGTCCGTATAGTGTAACACCTCGTATATCTTACAATACTAGAACACTGGCTGTGCTAGTAAGTTATTTAAACAAAACCTTGCAACTTTACATTCACAGAAATAAGTAAATATGGTCTGAATGAATGAATACATAATGCGGCCTTGTAAATATGACTATTAACTAGCTCATGTCGATAAAAACTTCGTTTTGCCTAAAGTACATACTCACCACACGGCAAATGAAGTGTCCATTTAGGAGCTTGCTCGGCAAGCTTTTTTATGCCCGCGCTTTGTCCGGCGGCCGACGGCGTGTGCACCAGTGTTGCCAGTGTCTTGCTTTCATTCCGTTACCTCTTCCCCTTTTATGCTGGACCGACAATAAAGTCGTTTGCACTCACTCACACTAACATCATTCTCTTTGTGGATATGGCAGTCATTTTTTTTCATCCACTGCTTTTTGCAATTCACTTCTTCGTCTTCGATACGCGCGAATCTAAGAAGGAATTAAAAAAAATTCTACCTCACGATGTTGAAAACAGTTGCTTTTCTGGCCCCATCACCGTGGATACAATTTATATAGAATCAACATGTTGGTTTGAGTTATTCATCATTCACAGATATTACAGAGAACCACTCATTAGGAACTCAAACCCGCATACACCTAATTTGCATAAAAAACGCACACTTCTTCATTGTATACTTGTGGTATACTTTGATATAAGTTTTTTTTTTTTAATTGCAGCATTTTTAGCTCACAAACTTTCTTCACGACATGGCTTTGCGGTAATGGAATGAAGCTGACCTTGTGCCAGTACGCAGGATATTTTTTGTAGTTTTTTCTATTTTTCCGCAGTTTGTTGCTGGGGTTGCGGTTTGTTTGCAAGTGCGAGTCCATGAGAAAAATCAAATGTTGGCAAGCGGCAGTTTCTACTTTATCTATGCGGCGTCTTCTTAATCACGCCACATTCTTCCGCGGTGGTCTAGTGGATAAGGTACTCGTTTGCTGACCCACAGGTCGCGGGATCAAATCCCGGTTGGGGCGAAAATGCTGTAGGCCCATCTGTTCAGATTTGGGTGCACGTCAAAGAACCCCAGGTGGTCGAAATTTTTGAAGCCCTCCACTACGGCGTCTCTCATAATCATGTGGTGGTTTTGGCACGTTAAACCCCACATATCAATCAAATCATTAGTCACGCCGCTGAGGCTCTCCCAAATGCGGAATACCCCTTCTGTAAGAAAAAAACATCGTGACGGAAATACAAATTTTGGGTGGCGTTTCACGCTGCCCGGTGGCCGATATATGAAGTGTCCGGGTTATTTCTGTTCGATGTAGCCTTAATTTTTTTCATCAGCTGACGTGTTCGAAAACAGATCTATATGAAGGATGGTTGGAACGTTGATGGTTGATGAAGGAAGTTGGAAATAATCGAGCAATACTTACTGTCATGGGCACAGCCAGAGGCGGAGGGGGACAGATACAACGCACGCACGAACATGCACAAAGTAAGATTGAGCCCCCCCCCCCCCCCCCTCCACCCGGAAATATTTCTGGCTAAGGCTTCTGATGACTGTGTACATGAGTTCTCCGCGTGCAGGAAGTGGACATGACCATCGTGCCTATGGTCCAGTCTCACAGCCGCATGACCGTCGGCCAGTACGGTCCTCCGATCATGTACGTGCAGTTCGGCATTCTCTCTGGCACCGGAGTGAGCACGTCCAACGTATTCGGATACATGCTCACCTTCGATTGGAAGGTGAGCCCTGCTTCTACGCACACGTGTTCACGACGCTCCGAACTGCGACTATTTCGCACTTGAAAAAACAAGTCGTTTTACGTTTATCCATGGCGCCGACAGAATGGCATCTGTTGTATACTCTTTTTCAGTGTGGTGTTTTAATCTTTGGCGTCCATGTTATTAATTTTTGATGCTTATTTATTAATCATTTTCTAATTTTTTACTGTAATTAGTACGCCCCGCCGAGGTGGTCTAGTGGCTAAGGTATACTCGGCTGCTGACCCGCAGGTCGCGGGATCGAATCCTGGCGGCGGCGGCTGCATTTCCGATGGAGGCGGAAATGTTGTAGGCCCGTGTGCTCAGATTTGGGTGCACGTTAAAGAACCCCAGGTGGTCGAAATTTCCGGAGTCCTCCACTACGGCGTCTCTCATATTCATATGGTGGTTTTGGGACGTTAAACCCCACATATCAATCAATACTGTACTTAGTACTTGCTCAACACCCAGGTCCATCATCGCCCATGCATCTTGTCAACGAAGGCTCACTTGGCACAGCCGTAATTCTCTTTGGGCTGTTGTTAACATATATGACCCCTAAAATGCGCTTCCAAAGATTTGACGTCAGCTTTTGTACCCCCTAGCAACAGTCCAGAAAGGAGGTGACCCTTCCTGCCGTTGAAAAGGCCTACGACATTATAACGTTGCGATTACAAACAAAAGAAAACAGAACCGTGAGGGTTTATAATCAGTGTAGGCACTTAAGCTGCTGGAACGAGAGGCTTATAAAAATAAATAATGTGCGAAGTGCATGATAACGAAAAGCCAATATTTCAAAAGCAAAAAGAACGGCAATAAATACTCATCATTGATTGCATTTATTATTTCTTTTACCTGACACATTTTTCTCAACGCCCGAATCTTCAAAGGTACGAAAAATAGGAAGATTAGCCAGAAGAACTATTCGGTCTCATATTCAGGTGGCAAAATGGGAGACGGGACATAAAAGCTACCTATATTACTACTAATTAAACGCCATATGTCCGCAATATGCACTGATAACAGTGAATCGTCCGCGAATGCAGGTTTGGGCCCTGCTTCTCAGCGCCATGCCTGTGCTCGCACTGCTAATAAGCTTGTCCGAGACCATCGTCCACAAGACGTCATGGAAGGAGGTGCCACACAGAGTGCACGAATGGGGTTGGGAGCTCTTCAGAAACCTGCTCTACGAAAGTGCGTAAAGGCATTTCCTCCATTTGTTCATCGCTCATGAACACTTCGCACATGCTAATTAACTGCAAGTACAACAATGAAGGGACACTGAAGAACTGGTGAATATACAATTGAACCCGCTTATAACAATACTGGTTTTAACAGTATATTGGTTATGGCAATCAGAATGTGCTGCCCGCTCAAGTTTTGTTTTCTATGGCGAAAATACCCGCTTTCAGCAATGTCCCCACGTCGCATTATCGGTTGTAAAAATGAATTCTGGCTCTTGTGTGTACGTACTGAATCGTACTGGAAAGCGAAATCCTCGTAGAGAAAGAAGAAAACGAGACATTCAAGCTGACGACTCTTCCCCGCTTCCCCCCGCTTTTCTTCCCACAACTCCAACGTCCCCGAACGCCCCTTCGAACCTAATATGCTTCACGGCATAATATTGCGGCACTGCAGCAAAGCTGACTCTTGAAACCCACCATGGTTCGGGAAGGGTGGTGGCCATAACGCTTTGGACTTACTCGTACCTAAACTCGCCGAAAATTTTCTGATTCGGACTAAGTCGGACTCAAGCTCACCAAAATATTGCTCACTCTTACTCACTCATACTAAGACTCACAGATCGATCTGTGTCTGAGTGAGTCCAAATGAGTCGGCTCCCTGAGTCCGTAAGTCTAGAATTAGTTTTTTTTTCAATTATAGTGTCAATTTGTACAACAATATCTCATGTAATCAATGCTATAAGATCTTGGCATTTCTTTTTTTTTATATCATACCTTCGAATTCGAGTTATAAATGGTTGCAAACAAGCAAGGACATTTTTTATGGAAAGAGATAACAACATAACATTTATTTATCAAGAACATCCCTGGAAGAGTTGGTGGAGGGGGAGTACGAGGCACCCTCCTACGCAATTCACGCCTCTAATCAATAAGTATTCACATGGCGTATGAACGACACTGTTTTTGGAATACTTGTGAGTAAACGTGAGTATAAATATAAAATTACACCATCTTCCGCTAAATGGAACCATGTGTAGATGCGAAGCAGCGGGCGCTCACGCTTACACTTGCAGCGGCGTTGACGCCGGCGCTCATCGCGGCGTTGTGCAGGAGAGAAAGCTGGGGAGGCGCAAAGGACGCAGTGATGGACCGGTGTTTCCTACTGGAACATTCCAATCACTGCTAATGGGAACGAGAGACAGCAGACTCCCATTGGATGCAGAGAGCTGCAGTCCGTTTTTAGTTAACGAACACGCTACTGATTGCTATCATTCAACAATGCATAGGAGAAATTTTTCACCGGCACTGCATAAGTTCCCATAGATACGGGGTGGCCAGTGAATGGCTGTGCAGCGTGAGCAGTCGATTTTTTCGGAAGCATTCTTCCCCAGACGCCGCTGAGAAGGATGCCAAGAGGAGAGAGAGAGGGAGTGAGCATTGGTTAGCAGACGCCATCTACGTCAACGTTCCCAGGTGAGAGAGGGGGAGGGGACGCGCATGCGCAATGGGGTATAAACTCCGCTCGAATATATGCCTAGAAGAGAGAGAGGGGAGAGTGAGCGTTGGCTAGCAGACGCTGTTTGTGTGGGCGTTGCTAGGCGAGAGAGGGGCAGAACGTAGGGTGGTCACGCCACACACCGGACTTAGCTCGACATTGCAGAAACAAGACTGAGCTGAACTATAAGCAAAAAATGTGTCGCGGCATCAAATCCCGGCTGCGGCGGCTGCATTTTCAGTGGCGGCGGAAATGCTGTAGACTCGTGTGCTTAGACTTGGCTGCACGTTGAAGAACCACAGGTGGTCGAAATTTCCGGAGTCCTCCACTACGACGTCTCTCATAAGCATATGGTGGTTTCAGGGCGTTAAACCCAACATATCAATCAATCTTTACGCAATAAGTAGATCCAATCGGATATGTAAACTTTATTCAATTTCCGGTGGGTTCATGTTTGAACTACTGAATGACAGATGACAAGCAGATCGGTGAAAAAATAGATACTGGGATCTCTTCCAATTACAAAATACAAGAAAGAGGGCATGCCAAAAGGTAACTGTAGAAAGCATCATACACAATAGGCGCACATAAGCCCTCCTTCGCGAGGACATGCATTTCTTTAACAAGTCGCGTCCTACGGCACACCTTTCTTTACAGGTTCACCACGCATCCCTACACAGACGTCGGCACGCGTCGTGCTAATGGCCTGGCTGCTGGCCGTGCTGGTGATCGCCAACTCGTTCGCGGGACACTTGAAGTCCAGCATGGCTGTCAAGAACGAACCTGCTCAACTGGACACCGTCCACGACGTGATAGCTCAGCGCAACCTAAGGCCCATCGTCTGGAAAGGATCGCACTACGAGGCTTTTCTGTCGGTCAGTTCCCAATATGCCATATGCACTCAAGGGGCGTATATGGTATGGAAAAACATTATTTGGGTCCGTTGGGGCGTGTACTAGCACGTTGCGGGCCACTCCCTCGTCGGGACAGATAGGCCTATAGCCTCTCCGCCACGTCGTGGGCCCGTTAGAGTTCCCAGTAGCACAATTGAAAAAAATTGGGTGACAAGGGTTGAACCCTCCCCTCCCCCCCCGTGGCCACGCCCCTGACACACGTTCTTTCTCTCTATGTGGTATCATGAAAATGGCCTAAGCTCATGTTCAGTATAATGTGACATTTTTTTCCGCGTAATACCACACAAAATTTTGTGGGAGCAGAGATGGCTGCTGATGAAAGGAATAAATTTTCATTCACCAGGTTTCACGTATCTAACTGCAATATACCAAGAAAATCTTCAGCACTTTTTTTTTTCGCACAGCTAGCTCTGCAAGTGATAAACTTGTGCAGCTTCGTTGAAGTTAATCTAAGACCGCGACTAGCCCGACTAGATGTTTTAATGCTATTGCGTTAAAGCATCTAGGCCTGATATTTACGGCCACGGAAGGATTATCTTACCCAAAAATGAGGCGGTAACATATTATAAAGCTGGTAAATGACTCATGCAATTTTTTTTATTGTATAGTCTACAAGTATAGCGATTTCAAATTTGGCTATACTTAAAGAATATTTTCGGGAGCATTCACTCATTAAAGTTGTTTTCTTAGGCTTCGACCAATAATAGTGTTTGGGGGGAGGGAGATATTGTGTTGAAACTTTGCCACCCTCCCTCCTTCCCATGCAAAACTCTGCGCATGCGTATATGTATGACCGTTACCGTGACAGCTGACTGGTAATAGCATGTCGAGATTACGAATTCCCTGAAGTGATTGGTCACGGATGTGTAAATATTCCAATGGGACCGAGGTTCGATGAAAGAACATTGAGCACATCCTTTAAACATGATTCCATAGACAAAGAGAGCGTTGCTTTAAAGGGCTGGTCAACAGGCTCCGTTTTTTCTTTTTCACCTCAAAAGAAGCTCGGCAGTTTGTAGAGTAGACTCCGGCGATTATGTTTTCCGAATATTACAGCGCCGCGCAGAGCCTCCGCTTCGAAAAACAATGCCCGCTCTCCTTTCCCACGCAGACCGATCCTCCTCTCACGTGCAGTGACGCAAAGTCAGCCGACCGGTGTCATCGACGTAGCACGCAGCTCGTCGATTGGTCTAAACCAGTCACGACGATAGGCTGCGCCTTTCCCTTCCTGTGAGAGAGAAGGTTGGCGACGCCGTGCGAAAATTTTCAAACCAGCTGAAACCGATGTTCTAACCCCTGTAACTTCCTTAGTATAGCACGTATTCGCGAAATTCTTGTGGCAGCATGTTCACAAAGCAGAAGTGGACTTTTTTTTCTTTTTATAAGTTTTTTGTTTTTGTTTGTGGGTTGTTTACTGGCCGTTTAAAATTTGCATCGGTGTTCTTAAACCACACGCAGACCGCCCGGTCTCCGGTGCTGAGTTCACTGTGGAGAATGGTGACGAGCACCAATGGGTCTCAGCTGGGCCGGGACATGTTCAGCGACGAGCACATGCGGCTGGTGGTGGAACGACGCGCCGTGCTCATGGTGGATCACATGTCGCTCCAGTGGCGCACAGCCGCCTACTGCCGCCGAACGCTGGTGCCCGGCTTCCACTTTGCGCGAGAGCATGTCGATGAGAACCCGCTCTCCTTCCTGATGTCACCGGCCATGAGCAGGGACCTACATCAACGCATATACGCGAGGTACTGAACATCAGAGAATGTACTACACGCACGTATGCTACTATGCACTGGCATGAAATGAACCTAATTGTCTTTTTGTTCTAGATATTGTGCTTCACTTACTACGCTCGTATGCGCATTACGTCTCAGGGAAGGAGCGCAAATTTCATAATATATGTTTCTCGCTCCAGCTGGCCCGTATTACTTGAACTGTGTAACTACTAACAATCACGCGTATGAATAGCATGCATTGGCGTAATTTTCTCGACGAAGTCACGTCGAGAAAATGCGTAAGCAATAAACGTATCTGCACAAAAATCGACAGCAGTGATTATCCGCTTTATAACTGGCACCGTCAAGCACAAGTCGACTCACGTGTGATACTGTGGACTGACGTCACCACAGCCGCCATATTTGGGTATTCGCAAGAAGACGCTTCCGTAACATCACCTGCTTGGTGCAGGATCATGTGGATGTGCGAGAGCGGCCTGGTACGCAAGTGGATGGCCGATAGCCTGGGCGACTGGCAACGCTGTGTGCGACAGACGGGAGGCCACGCTGCGGAGGACCTCACCGTCTCGGACACCCTGGCGAGCTTCGTGCTATGGGCACTGGTCATGGCGGTGGCCCTGGCAGTCTTCCTTGTGGAAGTGCTGCGCCCGCGCTCGGCATCATCACAGCGCACTCTGCAGACGCAGCGGCTCACGGGGCGCACCAAGGCGACCCGAGTCCGGTTGAAGAGGCCGTGCATGCCACGTCTTAAACAAAGCTTACCAGTTTGCTAGGCGATTGACTTCTGCCAAGCTTCTGCCAAGCTACATGGCTTAGCAAGAGGCTGTGTGTACCGTGATTTTGTCGCCCCTGTAACAGCGCATTGGCCCAACATTTCATGGTATTGATGCTGTAGGAAGCACCCCGCGAACAAGCAGTTCACATAATGTGCCGTTCATCGACACCGAACGACAAAGGAACGTGTGGCCGTGGTTGATGTCACATGGCTCCCGCGGCGATACAATATTCCCAGAAAAAAATTTCGTTATGACACAACCGTAAGATGCACGTAGACTTAGTAAGGACACCAACACGCCCAACTGGCAGTCATCCTAAAAAACTCACAACCTTTTTATGTTAGTTATAGATCAAAGTTGTCCAGGATATAAGGCGTAATCATATATGCATGTCGCATCGTGTAGATTACCCCTGAAGACATTATATATATATATATATATATATATATATATATATATATATATATATATTGTGAGCGCTGATTGTGTTGCTCATCATATATATATTCATATATATATATATATATATATATTATTTTTTTGCGGAAATGTTCAGAATTCTGGAGCTAACTATTGGGGGTCCGTCGACGACCCCTAATAAATATATGAGTATGTGCATACAGTTCTGACTAACCTTATGTTGCTGTATAGTACCTCGTATAACCGGAGCACGCTGTAGTGACAATGGTCCTGATTGAGAACACTGTGTTGTGCCATAAACTCTAGAGCACATGTACTATTTTCTACCTTCCCAGGATATGCACGTGAATGACAGCAATCGATTTATTTTACTGAGGGATTGCACAATGGACCACTAACTGATGGCATTGTGTTGGGTACTTGGCCTGATACCAACATTGCAACGGCGGGCCGGTCACCATGTAAGAGCGGTCATAGTTTTTGTAAAGGCCACTGACTGGACCGGATGCGCGTCTATAGAGCACGGCGCCAACCTTACGGGATTGTGCATACTCACCTCCTTACTTCCCCATTGTCATGTATCACACCTTTTCTTCCCCCCATCCGTTGACCTCCCTCGGTGTAGAGTAGCAGGCGAGAGCATATTATCGCTCAGGCTAACCTCTCTGCCTTTCCGTGAAAATAAACCTTTCACTTTTCTCGGAACACGCAACTGAGGCGTTTAATAATGGCTGCAATGAATGACAGCAACAAAGGCAATACAATATTAAGTGCGGTAAGTCACCGCAATGTTTTTCATCACGACCATCACGACATTGAACCGTACTCACGGATTGAAGTAGGACACTCAGAGCGCATGTAGCGCCACTTGTGGATGCTCGTAGAACCAAGCTGTTGCGTTGTGGTATATAATGATGTACGGTACAAGAATGCTGCTTCCGGTCGCCGACGAGTCGGCCTCGTTAAACCCCACGAATCAATCAATCAATCGATGAGTCGGCCTGTTGTGTACCATGTGCACAGGCTGCCAGCGTGGCGTTGCAAGGCTAGCGCGCGCTTACAAAAGCCTATAAAATAATCTTGCGGGCATCATCATCATTCTCATAATCATCATCATCCGGCGGCATTTCAGCGTGGTATATAGTCATTGTTATTTCATTCATGCATATACTTATTTTCTCATCTTTATTCGCTTATTGCTTTATTACTATTTCATCCTAGTTCACTACATATCAGTCAACGGTGATTTAACATTCATTCTTTTTTAACGTTCAATAAAGAAATAAAAATACCATTATTATGTTTGCTTGTGCGCAAGTTATTTTTTCAACATTTTTTTCAATGTTTGCTCACACTATGCTGCCACATGATTCGTGGCAGATCCCCTGTAGTGGGTTGAGCCATTTCTTTAGGAATTCATCTAGTTTTTTTTTTTGTAATTAGGCTACAGGGAAATCTAGTTCTAGTGTCCATGCGAGCTGAAACGCATGGGGCATCCGTAAGCGTTGAAATGTAACACGCGGATCACTCTAAGATTCATTCTTTTGACTCCGTTTGGCTCCGTCTGGTATGAACAAGCTTTGTCGCAAGACGAAGTTCAGCAAATGTTCAGCAGTTCCACCTTTACCTTCTAGGCCTACCGATTCGAATCAGGCCGCGAAGTTCACAAAGGTTCGTGTTTTTTATAGAAAACAAAAGCCAACAACAACATAATGAACGAAGCCGCAAACAAATGCGTTCGAATCCGTGTACTATCCATCGCGTCCATAGTGGATTAACAATGGCAGCGCCAGAGTTTCCTCTAATATTGGGAAACTCTATGTAGGAGCCGACGTGCCGGGTAAATGTACACCAGCAGCATCATTTTTTTCTAAGCAAAAAAAAATGATCTATTGGAAGTATTGCTACTGATTATTAAAATTATTATTTATTTCTTCATTTATTTATTTGTTTCGCATCACGAAAGTGGCCGCATTTGATTTCCGAAAATTAACTTTTCTTTTCCCATGCCTACTTCTTAACGTTTGCATTTACGTTATTGCTGGCTTTCTGGATGGAGCCACTTGGATGAGCTATAGCGGGGCCTCCGGTCCCTTCCAGCTTCTGCCACTTTTCGACCATGATTAAGTTCTCACTCTCTCACTCATTCACTCACTCACCGGCTTCTTGGCCAATTCCATCTCACCACCCCACTCCTCAGTACCAGTAGTGGGTACGAGCCATATCTAAGGTGCAAGCAAGCAAGCAAGCAAAAGGCGACGAAGAATGGGTCTGTGTTCCTGCAGCCGCATCATGGTTGTGTTCGGCCTCCTGTGGCCCGTGTACGTCTCGTTCAAGACCATCAACGGGAGAAACGGACACAAGACGGTCGTCGCACTCAAGTACTGGCTCAGCATCGGCTCCTACTTCCTGCTGGACTGTGTGGCCGAGACGCTGTTCGACACCAACGGCCACTTCGCGCACTTCGTCTGTGGCCTCCGGCTGGCCGCCTTCGTCTGGGTGCTGGTGCGCGCTCTCTTCCGAAAATCTCGAGTTCTCCACAAAATATATGTGCAGGGCGTCCAAAATGTCACGCAGCGTTATTTAAAAAGAATCGAAATGTCGTTACACGAAGCCACACCCAGTGCATATTTTCCCTGTACACTGTAGTAGGCACAGCTAATTTTTTGTTAATGATGTTTATAAAAATAGTTAGTCTTCATTATGTTTCTAACTCGAACAATACTCATTCAATCTTAAAAATTTCAACGAGGCATCTGTAGGCATGTTCAAACGCAGGCCTGTTCAAATGACATCTAACTGCGCTATTTTCGGCAACGTACTATTTGTGTGCCCACTTTCTTTTTTTTTTTTTGCCTAAAAGGAAAAGTTCAAGCAATCCGAAAAATGGCACATGACTAGACTGCAGCGCGCACCGGGAAGCAGCGCCCTCAAACAGGATCCCTGTGAGTCAGCAAGTCATGACTACGCTACCACCTTTTGCGGGTGCGGGCGTATAGTGACGTTACTTCGCGAATTTCGCGTTTTCTTTGATTGATGATTGATATGTGGGGTTTAACGTCCCGAAACCACCATATTGCCACGAGGAATTGCTAAGGCGCAGTACAACGCAGACGTTGTTAAAAGAGGAACGCTGACGGCATCGCTACGACTCATGAAGCCCGCCGGAAGGCACGAGCCGGCCCAGCCTGTGCACGAGCTGCTACCGAGCAGCGGAAAAGAAAAGAGAAGAAGAAGAGGACGACGAGCGTTCGCTGCTTTCTCCCAGCTACTGTGTAGTTCTTTTGGCTTTGGGCACAAGTTCGCCCTTATTAAACCTTGTAAATAGGACGTCCCGGTTGTGAGGTTGTTATATCCGTTACATTTTCTGGTGGAGGTGCTGGGTACATGATTCCGAGCCCCACGCAAGAGCGAAGTCCAAGCACTGACCAGCCGCAACCAGTGGAGCTTACACCGGTGCACCAACGAGTCAGCCGCCGTATCCGAGGAGAGTTGCCAGAATTTGGGCCACTCCCTTCTGTATCAAGGGCATCGGTGACGGAGACAAGCGCCGCCACCACCATGACGAGCCAAGTTACGCCGGCACAACTCATCGTAAGCCAACCGGTCATTCCAAAGGTGTTTCATGGTGACCCATACGAGGACGCCGAAGACTGGTTAGAGCATTTCGAGAGAGTGGGAAATCTAAATCAGTGGAACGAGGAAGGCAAGCTGCGTAACGTCTACATTGCGTTGGAAGACTCTGCACGAGTGTGGTACGAAAACCACGAGGCATCTCTGACGTCGTGGCAAGAGTTTCGGCGGCAGCTACTGAGTACGTTCGCCAACAGTGATCGCCGGGAAAGGGCGGAAGCAGCTCTCCGCACACGGATTCAACGAACGAACGAAACTGTCGCGATGTACATCGAAGACATGTCCCGCCTTTTCAAGCGAGCTGATCCTGGCATGACGGAAGACAAGAAGGTGCGCCACCTCATGCACGGGGTAAAGCAAGAATTGTTCGCGGGACTCATCCGCAATCCGCCCCGTACTGTTGCTGAGTTTCGGTCGGAAGCAACAACCATCGAAACGACGCTTCAGCAGAGAGCCCGACAGTACAACCGCGACGTAGCCGGTGCATCCGCAGGAGTCTACTCAGCAGGCGTCGTGGATAATCTTGACACATTGCGCGAGCTCGTCCGGTCTGTTGTCAGGGAAGAATTAAGGAAACTGCAGTCACCTGATGTCACCCCCGAGCTGTCTCTTGCTGAAGTTGTCCGAGATGAAATTCGACAGGCCATGCGGGAGCCGCGGAGTGATGTACCAGCGACACGACGGGCGGTAACGTACTCCGAGGTGCTCAGGCGACCTACTCCGCACTGTTCGCCGATCGAGACACCAAGTACTTATGTGCAGACAATGCGCAGCCCGCCTGAAATCGTAGAGGCAACACGCACTCCACCTCGTGCGAGAGAGATGATGCCACGGAAGAGCGATGTGTGGCGAGATGCCACACGTAGGCCCTTGTGTTTCCACTGTGGAGAGGCTGGCCACCTGTACCGATTCTGCCGATATCGTCAAGCTGGTCTTAGGGGATTCGCCATCAATGCACCGTGTCCGCGAAACGGCGAAAGACCTTCCGAGATTGAAGAATACCTATGCTCACGTCGGGAATTTGACCCGCCTCGTCGTCATCAACCACGCTCACCATCCCCTATGCGCTACCGCTCGTCTAGCCCACGTCCCTTCCCAAGCACGTCTAGGCAGCGTTCGCCTAGCCCAAATCCGGGAAACTGAAGAGGGCGACCTGTGGAGGCGAGGCCGCTGGCGACTTGGGATATGAAGATCCTCCACTGCGGTACGAGCCTGATAACGACGACTGTTTCCAGGTAAAGGAGTGCAGTACAGAGAAAATTACTTCAGACTTGCCGTTGGTGATTGACGGACTAGAGCTCAATGCTTTGATCGATACTGGTGCGGATTATTCTGTGATAAGTTACGAATTAGCGAAGCGACTCAAGAAAGTTCTGACCGAATGGGGTGGACCTCAAGTACGTACTGCAGGTGGTCACCTCATAACCCCTTCCGGCCGATGTACCGCAAGGGTCATGATACGGGGCTTCACTTACGTCGGTGACTTTGTCGTCCTACCTGTGTGCTCGAGGGAAGTGATACTGGGAATGGATTTCCTACAAGCTAATGGTGCGATTATCAATTTACAGAGGTCGAGCGTGTCCTTTTCGACGGAGCAAGCTTTAAAGGTAGCACGATCAGATGAACGATGTACCACTCCACTGCGCGTCGTCGACGATGATGTGACTGTACCGCCACGGAGCAGTATAATGGTTCTCGTGCATAATGATGCATTCAGCGACTACGAGGGTGTGGCGGAGAGCAACGTGGATGTTTTCTTGAAAAGAGGCGTTTGTGTGGCACGAGGGATTATCCAGCTGCGAAACGGGTGCACAGACATCCTCTTGACGAATTTCGGTAACGAATTCCAGCACATCGCAAAAGGGACGGCAATAGCGTTTCTTCATGAGTTCTGTGAAGTGACAGAAATATGCAGTCTTGAAACGACGTCACCGAATGTGAAACTTCCATCTGATGCCTGCGACACAATATACGTAAATCCTAATCTTTCAGAGATTCAACGTCAACAGCTATACGACCTCGTGCGGGAATTTGGCAGCTGTTTCTCCAACAGTTCAAAGGTACGGCGCACGAGCATTACAAAACACAGGATCATAACGGACGAGACAACCAGGCCGGTATGCCGGCACCCGTATCGTGTTTCCCCTAAGGAAAGGGAAGTCATCAAGAAGCAGGTACGAGAAATGCTTGAAGATGATGTTATCCAGCCTTCTAACAGCCCGTGGTCATCTCCCGTGGTGCTTGTCAAGAAGAAGGATAACACGCTACGGTTTTGTGTCGACTACAGGAAACTGAATGCTGTGACTAAACGGGATGTATATCCCCTTCCACGCATCGACGACACGTTAGATCGACTTCGGTGTGCCAAGTTCTTCTCATCACTAGATCTGAAAAGTGGATACTGGCAAATCGAGGTTGATGAACGTGATCGCGAAAAGACTGCTTTTGTTACCCCGGACGGACTTTACGAATTTAAGGCTCTCCCGTTTGGTCTCTGTTGTGCGCCGGCAACGTTCCAACGCATGATGGACACTGTGCTTTCCGGATTGAAGTGGCAGTGTTGCCTAGTGTACCTAGACGACGTGGTCATCTTCGCGGCTACATTTGAGGAGCACATCAAGCGCCTTCGGTCAGTGTTAGAGGCAATCCGTTCGGCAGATTTGACAATCAAGCCAGAGAAGTGCCGATTAGGTTTCGAAGAGCTTCGTTTTCTTGGGCATGTCGTCAGCGCCCAAGGTGTTCGCCCTGATCCTGATAAGACGACCGCCGTCGCAAGGTTTCCGGTGCCAACAGACAAAAAGTCAGTACGGAGATTTCTAGGTCTATGTGCGTACTATAGACGATTTGTGAGAAATTTTTCAAAGATCGCAGAACCCTTAACGAGACTTACGAAAGAAGATGTGCCTTTCCAGTGGCAAAACGAGCAACAAAGCGCCTTCAACGAATTGAGAAAGAGGTTAGAAAACCCCCCGATTCTTTCTCACTTTGATGAGACAGCCGACACGGAAATACACACAGATGCCAGTAACATCGGCCTTGGATGCGTTCTAATACAGTGGCAGAAAGGTGAAGAAAAAGTGATAGCTTATGCCAGTCGGACTCTAACAAAAGCAGAGACAAACTATTCGGCCACGGAAAAAGAATGCCTTGCCGTCATCTGGGCCATCAGTAAATTTCGGCCGTACCTATATGGTAGACCATTCAAGGCAGTCAGCGATCACCATGCGCTTTGCTGGCTGGCGAACATAAAGGAACCATCCGGACGACTAGCAAGGTGGAGCCTCAGACTGCAAGAATACGATATAACCGTGGTATACCGATCTGGCAAAAAACATACCGATGCCGACTGTTTGTCACGGGCTCCTACAGACACACCACCATCAGAAGAAGACGACTTTCCGTTCGTAGGAATTGTCGAGACCACTCAAATAGCCGAACTCCAACGTACAGACAAAGAATTACTCCCGCTTATCGAACACCTGCAAGGAATTGACGTACAAGTACCCCGTATATTTTCTCGAAGCCTCGCATCGTTCTGCCTCCGAGGAAACGTTCTCTACAAGAGAAACTTCAAGCCCAACCGCGAAAAGTTCCTGCTTGTCGTTCCAGCAACTATGCGACAAGAAATACTTCGAGCGTGTCACGATGAGCCCACATCTGGACATTTGGGTGTGACGCGAACGCTTGCAAGGATCAGTCTCCATTATTATTGGCCCAAGCTACTAGCTTCAGTGCAACACTACGTCAAAACATGCCGCGAGTGCCAAAGACGAAAAACACCAAGTTCTAAACCAGCGGGCCTTCTACAACCTATAGATCCACCGAAAGCGCCTTTCCGCCAAGTTGGAATGGACCTCCTTGGACCCTTCCCCACATCTTTACTCGGCAAGAAATGGATCGTTGTGGCCACTGATTATTTAACTAGATACGCCGAAACAGACTCTTTGGAACGAGGAACGGCAGCAGAAGTGGCCCAATTCTTCGTACACAAAATAGTCCTGCGACATGGCGCTCCAACGGTTGTAATCACCGATCGCGGAACGGCTTTCACGGCGCAACTTTTGAAGTGCCTGCTCAACATGACTCACACTGTTCATAGGAAAACCACTGCATATCATCCTCAATGCAATGGCCTGACCGAACGCCTTAACAGAACTCTAGCAGACATGATATCCATGTATGTGGATGTCGAGCACAAAAAGTGGGACGAAATTTTACCATACGTCACTTTCGCCTACAATACGGCTGTGCAAGAGACCACCAAAATCACCCCATTTGAACTAGTTTACGGTCGTGCTGTTACCACAACACTGGATGCTATGTTACCAATAGACCAAGATGACTACCCCCCCGATCTTGACGACTTTCTACAAAGAGCGGAAGAAGCCCGCCAGTTAGCAAGATACCGAATACGCCACCAACACCGCATCGATGCCGACCGCTACAACCGAGGAAGACTTGATACGCGATATGACGTTGGCGACAAAGTGTGGATATGGACTCCAGTACGACGACGAGGCCTCTCCGAAAAACTCATTTCCCGGTATTTTGGCCCCTACGAGATCGTACAGCGACACAATGACCTCGTCTACGAAGTCAAGCCTGCAGGCCACCTGCATCCGAGGCGACGCAATCCCACGGAGCGTGTACACATTGTACGGATGAAACCGTACTACGACCGATTCCAAACCTAGCCACCCCAATCCCTTGACGTACTGCAACCTCATTTTTACAAACTTGTACACACAAAAAAAAAAAAAAAAAAGTACTGAACAGCCTCATCGCAAGCATCGGGGCGATGCCGCTTGAGAGGGGGGATAATGCCACGAGGAATTGCTAAGGCGCAGTACAACGCAGACGTTGTTAAAAGAGGAACGCTGACGGCATCGCTACGACTCATGAAGCCCGCCGGAAGGCACGAGCCGGCCCAGCCTGTGCACGAGCTGCTACCGAGCAGCGGAAAAGAAAAGAGAAGAAGAAGAGGACGACGAGCGTTCGCTGCTTTCTCCCAGCTACTGTGTAGTTCTTTTGGCTTTGGGCACAAGTTCGCCCTTATTAAACCTTGTAAATAGGACGTCCCGGTTGTGAGGTTGTTATATCCGTTACAATATGATTATGAGAGACGCCGCAGTTCAGGGCTCCGGAAATTTCGACCACCTAAGGTTCTTTAACGTGCACCCAAATCTGAGCACACGGGCCTACAACATTTCCGCCTCCATCGAAAATGTAGCCGCCGCAGCCGGGATTCGATCCCGCGACCTCGCGTTTTCTTTAGCAGCCGGGAAAAGTGAGCATGTATAATAACTACATAGCTGAAATAGCCCACTTAGATGTCATTTTAACTTGCGTACATATGCCTCATTGGTATTTGTCGAATTAGATGCGTAATTATGATTAATTAACTAAACGTCATTAACAAAATCTTCGTAGGGGCTAGCTACTACAGTAAACTGAGAAAAATATGCACTGCTGTGCTTCGATCGCGCCACACTAATGTTCCCCTTTGTTATAGTGCTGCGTGATATTTGGGGCTCCGAGAGTATAAGCAGATTCTACACACACCCATTAATCACTGATAAGTGAAGCTTTGTTTGAGACTTGCTTTAACGTTCTTAGTTTGTCAATTTCACTGTTAATTCTTCTTGTTGAATGAATGTTTTGTTTCCTTCACTGAATCCGGTGCGATTTCTTCACGTTCGGCCATTAAAACACATACATACATACATACATACATACATACATACATACATACATACATACATACATACATGCATACATACATACATACATACATACATATATACATACATGCATACACACATACATACATACATACATACATACATACATACATACATACATACATACATACATACATACATACATACATACATACATACATACATACATACATACATACATACATACATACATACATACACATATATACACATACATACATACATACATACATACATACATACATACATACATACATACATACATACATACATACATACATACATACATACGTACGTACGTACATACATACGTACATACATACATACATACATACATACATACATACATACATACATACATACATACATACATACATACATACATACATACATACATACATACATACATACATACATACATACATACATACATACATACATACATACATACATACATACATATTTGGTAGATCAACTTGCCAAATTATTATTTTTTGGTGCTGATGCGCTAGTTATTCTGCTGCCGATTTCATTCATTGCATCTTGTGCTCCTCGTCTAGGCTAGTAGAGGTGTATGGGCTATTAATTAAGTGCACATTAACCTTTTGGTAGTTTCAAAACTTCTCGTGCCCGGCTAGTATATTTGAGCCTCTATACCCTCCGCACCAACCCACAGAAAACGTACCAACAGCCTAGAAACGTTGCCGAGGGCTACCCGCCCAAGAATTTGCAATTGCAAAAAACCATACCACGCTGGACTGTAAGACTAGACATTGCGGAGCATATCGCAACCCAAGTACTTCGATTTCTAATCAGCCATATTGGTCCGAAAGCTTTCATAACGGACGCATGTTTTGAGGGCGCGAAGGTAATCTGGACCCACCTTCGTGGCTAGCACGTAAGGCGTCGCGATGCTGAGCCCGAAGTGGTGGGTTCGATTCCCGCGGCCACGATGTGTTTTGATGAGGGCCAAATAGAAAGACCACCCGAGCGTTCATATTTAGGTGCACGTCAAGGAATCTCAGTGGGTCACAAACCTAATCAGATTATTATTATTTCAGGTACAAGCGCCGGAAGACGTTTATGAAACCTTTCTTCGACCTCAACTGAAAGCGTGGGAGTCCAGCGTCGACAAATTGTTGGCGAAATTGAACTTCACGATAGGGATGTGAAGTATACACCGAAACGATCAGCAGTTAGTGAAACCACGTCCTTGATTGTCGTTATTTCGTGCGACGTTTTTCATTACGCGGGCAGTTTCGCATGACGGACTGTGTGATATTGGTTGGCCTATAGATAACTCTACACAAGCAGTTGTGTGTTTAAATCAATAATTACTTATTTTTTTAAGTACCCAAGAGTTGTTGCACAAAGCTTGTGCTAATGCGGAAAGAAAATTGCGCAACTCGTGCAAGGCTTGGTCGCAGCAGAGCTGGTGGACTAGAAGTAGGTGAGGAAGAAGATGACGAATATGAAGAAGATAACTTAGTGAGCGCGTGCCGATTTATTAAGATTTTTTTTTTTCACTCCATACCGACAAACTATACGTACGTGCAATGCTTTCTCTCTTTTTTTTTCATCTTTCTTTTGTACGTTGCTTTACATATCATTCGGTCTACGTATGTTTCTTTCTCTGCCTTTCTGTCTTGTTCACTCCTTCTCTCTTGTCTTCTCCTTTTTTTCTCCCTCATTCTTTCACTTTCTTTTTCATAAAGCGTTTGGCAAGTTCTACTCATGTTCACAAGCATACGCCTCTACTGGCCGCAACGCTCAATGAGCTAGGATTACAGGCGGCACTTTTCGGTGTGAAGCAGCTGATGGGCGAGCTGTATCCGGTGTGCGCAACCACCCTTATTGCGCACGCGCAATATCTGGCCCAAGCACTGCCAGAATGCGCTCCCGCCATTGCGCGTTGCCGGCCTGCGCAAGTGGTGACATGTATAAGAGGTGGTGGCCTCTCCCCCGTACACTCTCTCAGCAATCATGTCATGGCGTCGGAGAACGGGATTCTGCCGACTAGAGTCGAGTGTACTAGAAGTTTCTAGTACACTGGAGTGTCTCGACAAAGGCGAACGGGCGCATCGATTCGCTAATATATATATATATATATATATATATATATATATATATATATATATATATATATATATATATATATATATATATATATATATATACGCGTAGTGACGAACGCGTGCTCCAGCGTGGCGAGGTGTTGAACCTGCATGGCGTGCTCCAACAGTTCGGGACGAGTAAAAGCAACAGAAACTATACAATGAAATCATGGTGTGCTCCTCTTGCAAGTACGCGTTAACCTCGGTCAAGGCGCCCGTGATGAACGGAACTTTCCCGTGAGTTGCTTCGCGCGTGGGCGTAGGCAGAGGGGGGGGGGGGGGCAAAAGGAGCCCTCCCTCAAACCTCACCAGGCCTTGCCCTCAACTAAACCACACAAACGCTTACCCCCTCCCCAAGGCAACATCTTGCCGACGCTCATGGATTCGCGTGCTATACTCATCGCTCCCTTTGGTGAAAGATGGTGTAATTTTTCTTGATATGTGACATACTACTGCAATGAACTACGCTTTAGTTTCGGAATTTTACGACAGTTGCGTATTATTGAGATAGGAGGAGGAGGAGGAGGAGGAAGAGGAGGAGGAGGAATAAACATTTATTGAAACAGCATACTGAGGTTTCCGTGGTTGGAGCCCTTATTCCAGGGCCACACTGGCCCGAGCGGCACGCTCGGCTTGGTCCAAGGTTGCCCCGCTGGTTTCCCAGGTCCTGCCGGTTGAGTCGCACCTCCCACGACCTTTTAAATTCGTTTCGTGCGATGAGGAGTGAGTTACCCTCTGCTGGTCCGACAAAGTTTGTCGACAAGTCCAAGTGATGTGCTGGAGTGGCGGTGCGTCACTGCACCAAGGGCAGCGGTCAGCAAATTGGGATGCCCGGATTTTGCAAAGTGTGTGTATGTCGGGATGTGTGTTCGTCTGTATTCGTCTCCAATCCCCGGATTGTCAGCGGGTGAGTTTACGGTGGGGTGGCGCCATCTTTTTCCGGGCCAGTCTTTGGCTCTCAAGGATATCTCGCGGCAGCGTAGGCGTGAAGTAATCCACCCGGGTCGGCATGTCCGCGGCATGGAAAGTTATGCTCAAGCCATGCGGTCTGCCCGTTCGTTTCCTCCTACACCTTCGTGAGTGAGGCACCATGTGATGCCGTGGTCTTCTTGTAGCTTGGATCCTAGCATGCGTAGGACGCTCTTGGGAAGGACGCCTCTGAGAAACAGTCGGCAAGCCTCTTGAGAATCTGTGAGAACGTGCGCAGACTGTCTCTTGCACTCTGCTGCACGGATGGCTAGTGCTATGGCTGCCGCTTCTGCTACGGCCGTGCTTTTCGTCCGAATGGTCGCCGAAGTGAACGCTTGGTTTCGGCTGGTAACGACTGCATCAAATGCGTTTTGCCTCGTTTGGTGTGAACTGGAGTCTGTATAGTAACCCCCGTATTCTAGAACGTCCCTTCACTTAACGCTTCACCTTCACTTGAGAAAGCCGACGGGAGCGGCATCTCTAGGCACGGCAAGTCACTGCATATCAGCAATATGCTGCAATTCTTGAGTAGCGCAGTGTCATTTTCAGCCGAGCGGTGGCGCAGTGCTCAACTCTGTCAAGTGAAGGGTGGAAGTCGAGTCGAGGAGCGTTCGTGAATAAGGGGGTAAGTGTCGGTGTCATTTCGTAGCCGTTCTATAGTGCCACCACCCTTGCGCGTCAGAGCTAGCGAATATACATGGACACTTTCGGCGTATTTTCGCCATTACCGTCACCATCATGTCCAAGATGAAAGTGAACCGATAGGCATCCGTACAAGGAGAAGAGAGGGGGGGGGGGTGCCTTTCACCCCGTAATAACTCGTCTTTGCACCAGGTACTAATCGTAAGGGCGTCACTTCCGAGATCGGCTCCAGCTGCTCGCCGTTTCCGAACCAATATTGGAGGCCACGGTAACGAGGTATCAGTATAGGAGGGGTGGTCGCTGTTTTTATTTTCCTCTGCACATGGCCCGTACCCAAAGGAGGGGATTGGCCGATTACAAGGTGAATTTGCCCGATACTTTCTGCATTGCTTCATTCCTAAAAAAAAATGCTTCATTCCTAAAGAAACTTCAAGTTATTTAATTATGAGTTGAAGTGCCAAACGCGAATTTGAAGAAAAAATAAAGAAAAAACAGTAAGACCACAATTTCGCAAGAAAATCGTTTAGTCGCAGTGAGGTTGCGGAAGAAGTTGGTGCGACGTTAAAACTTCGTCGACTTCAAAACCAACGGCGCATCCTTGGTCACTACCCACTCTTACATAGGACCTTGATCAGAGCTGTGCTTCGGTTCAGGCCGTCTCCGTTCGCATTCGTGCAGGCCTTCTTGAGTAGATGCGATGTTTTTGCAAATTAGCTCCACAGCGCTATTTATGTGCCCATGAAAACTGGTCTCGCCCCAGTCGGCATTGAGAAAGCTGTACGATTCGATCTCTTCGAAGATAGAGACCTTGATGGAACAGCTGCCATCCGCTATGCACGGGTCACTGGACGCGCGGGAAGCGCTCTGACGCAAACGAGCGGTCTCCCAGGCTCTCCTCTGGAGTCGCTAGTTGTATTCTCGCACTATATTTTAAAGAAAGCCCCAAAAATGATTTCAAAGAAATAAGAACTTTTTTTATCAAGATACATTTAGGGACGCTTTGAAAACTATATCTATTGAGTGCATGCAGTTTGGACCTGTGGCATGCGTTCCCCTAATGTATGTCCAGCTCTTTAGTTCTGTTTGCAGTACTCCGTGTATTAAAGTTACGTGAAGAACAAAATGATTTTCCGCGTAAAATTAGAGTACAATTTCGCAATCTCGAAAACACCACCGTTACCACGATATTACGCTTGATAAGCAAGAAAACATGCAATTTTTTTTAAATGCGCGTGGGGATGCCAGTTTGAGATTCCCGCACAACACACCCTATAGCATCATGAATTTTGTTGGTGTCGTACCTTCTAATCAATAAAAATGAAGTGCAATGTTATCCGTGGATGCCATAGACGTAGCATACAAGGTTTAAAAAAATGTCATCTGGCTAACGTCACGATATCACAAAAATACATTTTGAAGATTTTCCCGTCACGCGCAGAGATTTCGTACGCGAAATTTAAAAAAAATGAAGCTAATTTTCTCCGCCAATAAGGAATTTATTGTATTGCCACTTATGTCATTAGAGTTACAGAGTGCAGTTTGTCAATCTAAACCAAGTGATTGTTTCTCTTTAGTATCTTTTTAAAACTAAAGTCAAATATTTCATCAAACGCGAGAAGTGAGCGTCGGCGTCAACACGAATGATGACAAAAATGATCATGTGGCGATGACATCCTGTGAGGTCATCATGACGTCACGGTGACGTCACGTATTGTAACGCCATCTCTTGGTCAAATGGAGGGCTATCTTGGAGGCACTGCGCAGACACGCAAGGTACAGACAAATCCACGTTGAATGAATAAATACGCTTTATTCAAAGTCCGGCAGTTTCCTTCCGGCGAGGCGGGAGGAAGAGGGGATTAACACCTCTTTCCACCCTCCGTCAATAAAATAAAAAATTTACACCATATCCCACTACAGGAAATCATGTAGAAATGCGAAGCAGCACTGGCGTTCCCTTGTGTTTCCATTTGTATGCTTCCGTGTATGTTTCGTTGGTGTGTGGAGTTGTGTACCGCTTACGTTACCCCCCTCCGATTTGTGTGTGTCACCGTATACATGTGTGCCGCAAACATTATCAAGCGCTCTTAGGAGAGTGCGATGGAGCGAGCGTGCGCAGCATTACATGGTGGTGGTGGTCAGTTGAAAGAAAGAGACGCTTATTTCTGAAGCCCTTGAGAGAGCACGGCTTAGCGTCGGAGCATTATATACGAGCGAACAGCTATGCGGCACAGAGATAAACTGGAGAGAAGGAACGAAGCGGAGGCGGTGCTCTTCCACCTTATCTCCACCTCCTCTCACCTTCTCGCGCTCACTTGAGAAGAGGGGCCTCAGCGACCGTCCGCTCCCCGGCCCACTGCGCATGCGTCAACTCTCCTCCCACCAGGTCTCGCGCGAGGAGAGAAGAGTTGGTGCATGCGCAGTAAGTATATGGTCACGCCGCACACTACCGGATGGAAATTCGCCATAATCTGCATCGCATCTG